TATATATATATATATTTAAACTTCTTATTATCCTCTTTAAATAAATTCTTGCAATCTTCTCTATTTGTGTAACTATTAGAATTGACCCCTCTAGCTAGTTTATTTAAAACCAATTCTTCCGATAGTGTAAATTAAATTACCTTATTCAAATCAAGAATTTAAAATTTAAAAGATTTAAATTAATTTATCCAGACAAATTATTTAATAAATAATAAAAATTAAAATAATTTATCTAAAAAATTTCCAATTCCTTAAATTGTTTTTTAATACTTCAACTAAAGACAACTTGATTTAATGAATGCAAACTATATAACCACGCTTTCGTAAACATTCGTCCAATGTCCAACGCGTAATGACATAAAACTTCCATTAAGAGCAACACCGAAGCTTGCATTTCTTATGAAACTAAGTAGTAAAGCTTAGAGATTTTTTTCAATATATCGATGTATATTTGTCTACCATTCTATATCTTATCTTATGTTACATTCAAAATAAGTTTTATCAATGTTTCCTACAGAAAATAAAATAAAAAAACTCCTAATCTAACAATTATCATCATGCATAAGATGCACAAATCAATTCTGTAGATGACGATTGAATTTTCATCAAAATTAAATTTTCTAAAAGTACTAGACAAATTATTGAATATATCATCGAAGAAATACTAATGTTGGAATTTAAGTGTGAAGCGAAGTCCCACATTGGTTAGAATTGGGCATGTTGAGTAATATATAAGTGAGAAAGATCCACCTACCTAATGCCTTAAGGTTTTAGGTTATGTTGTGGTGTTAAGCTCACTTGTGCAACTTAGTGCTCCCTAATGTTAACAACTTCCCAACAATGGTATCAGAGCCGATGGTTCGACCAAGTGACTGGTGATCGGTTCAGACGAGTATTAGCTGGATCCAAGAGTGAGATCCTAAATGGAATTTTGGCAGGAGATCCAAAAGTAGGATCATCCCTTGTACTGAAAAAGCTTCCGCTTGAGGAGGAGCATGACAAAGATCCACCTACCTAATGCGAAAGTCTCTACCTAGAGGTGTGGAGGACGTGTGTCGTTGAAGTGCAACGCTAGTGCAAGTAAGGTCACCATTGAATACTCGTGGACGAAAGAAAAAGGTTCCGCTTGAGGAGGAGCATGACAAAGATCCACCTACCTAATGCCTTAAGGTTTTAGGTTATGTTGTGGTGTTAAACTCACTTGTGCGACTTACTCACTACTCATTATGTGGAGTGCTCACCGATGTTAACAACTCCCTAACAACTAATTCACAATTAATTTCATTGTTCTAATATGTAGAAAACCATTCCAAAAATATTACACACAATGCACGGATATTCAGTTAATTTTTATCTAATAAAGTAAATTTATTTTTTCTATTTTTTAAAAACATTTTTATATATTATTATAAAAAAACACATTATAAGCAAATGTATGTACACAAAAATATCAAAATAAAATGAATATTAAGGCTTTCTCTATTAAACTTCAGAAAATTATTTATTGAAAAAACTAATAAATCTACCATTCTACTTTCTTTTTATATGAATTTTTTTTTAAATTTATCATATATGGTTGAGTTTGTTCAAGATCAACTATTTTATGTGATTCCACATTCATGTGATTCTACTTAATGAGTTGATATCTTCATTAAATATCTATATAAATAAATTTGTTTTTCTTATAAAATTATATTATGCTTTCATATTAAATGTCATATATTTTTTTAATTATGTAGACTATATTATGAAAAAATATATTTAAAGTTCAAATTAAATCATACATATTACCTCGTTATTTACTAATTACAAATTATAAATATAATGAAAGAAAATATGAGAATGCAGTATATAAATCAATATTAGTAAATATATATAATAAAAATATCATTACCTTAGAAGACTCAATTAAATTTGATATTGTCATCGTTAAAGTTTTAAGGAGGTCATCCAATAATGACAAAGAAAGATGACCAATAATTTAAATCACAGCTTGAGTAAATTGAATTTATGTTTCATCCATTCAACATACATAAAAAAAAATTATTTTTAACATAATTATTTCTTAATATTACATTAAAATTAAGATATAAAAAATTATTTAACAATATACTTAATATTACACATTTGATATTCCCATCACTCCTTATAAAATTAATATGAATTAAATATTATATTAATTTTAATAATACTTTTAAAATTGTTTCAAATATTGAAGAAAATATATTTTACCTTTATATTTATTCAATTTGCAGAATTGAAATTCTAATACAACAAGACCATAAGAGATATGTAAATTTTTTTTTCAAGTAATTGATCAAAGTTGTCAATATAGTTTGTGTCATTGTGTCCTATCACTCTTGAAATTAATATGAACTAAATATTATATTAATTTAAATAATACTTTTGAAATTATTTCAAATATTGAAGAAAATATATTTTACCTTTATATTTATTCAATTTGCAAAATTGAAGAACTAATATATTGTAGAAAAATATTAATTTTGGAATGAAAAATAATTAATAATTATTAGTAATGATTGATAAATTCTGAATAATAACTATTGTGAACTTAGTGATAAACATGAGAGGAAGGTTTAGTGAAGTTAAACCCCAACAATTTATTAATATTGCATTAGAATCAAGTTTTGCACTCTATGTGTTTACCAAAATACAAAAAAGAATTGTTATTGTTTGTTTACATTATTTATTGCAATAAATCAAACTCTTATTGCTTTTCGGTAGCTTAGTTAGTATAACAAGTGAAATTGCAAAGTGTTGCACAAGTCTCTTGAGAACGATACTCATACTTTCATTGAACTACTTATACGATTTGGTACACTTGCCAAACGAGTGACAAAAATCCTTATTTCCCTTGCATCTTTTTATAGAACCCAAACAAGAAACGCAGATCACATATAATATTGTATATATTTTAATCATAAGTTAAACTTCGAAATCCAAATTCAGTCGTATACTATATATATAAAAACAGGAACATACATAATGATATTGTCATAAACGCGCTTGGTCAAGTTGAGATAGATAGATACGGTGATCTTAAGGTGTGCCTTTGTTTGGAGATGGTGGTAGGTTATGGTCGTACAAAGCAGATTTAGAAGCATACACTGGTGGTGGCCGAATAGGACCACATCGTACTGGTAACCTGAAATAGATAGAAGGCTCACCACTAGAAGACGAACAATGACTTTCACTTTGTAATAAAGAGGTGATTGGGATGAACACCGAAAGTGAAAGAAACAAAACTAGCATGGCTGAGTATGACATTATCATATTCATGACCTTGTGATGAAGCAAAGCACACCATACATTTGTTTATTTATATACTAGTCGGCTTTTCGATCGTCAAACACTTAATGAAGTAAATCCTTGACTAAATTATTTTACAAACTCTATTGATTAAAATATAAGTCAACAACCCAAAAGTCTGTAATGAGAACGTTTTCTTCCAATTCCATCAACTGAAATTGAAGAATAAACTTTGACAATTGATATTCACAAGCACCGTGCTGTAGTGGTCGGTTATTCATTTTATAATTAAATTAATTTTTTTAAATTTTTTATGAGTTTATATAAAAAAAATGTATTGAAACTTTTCTATCTTTGAGGGTACCGTAGCAACTCTCTTGGTAAAATATATGTTGTTACTGTACCCCTGATAAATGAGGGGTACCGGTACTGTCGATGACGTGTCGATAATGTGTATGTACATATCATTTAAATGCCATGTCAAATACCATGTCAGCCTTTTAAATAAAAATTATTTTGTATTTAAATTTTTACATTATTTTTTTTATTAATATTTTTATAATTATACGATCTCCTCTCCCCTCCGTCTCCCATCTCTCCCTCGCCCCTCCGACCGTCTCCCACCTCTCCCTCTCCCCTCCGTCTCCCCTCCGTCTCCGTCTCCCCTCCGTCCGTCTCCCACCTCTCCCTCTCCCCTCCGTCTCCCACCTCTCCCTCGCCCCTCCGTCTCCCACTCCCCTCCCCTCCGCCTCAACCCCTCTCCCTACTTCTTGAACTCCCTCGCCACAGCCATTTGCCACTCCTCCCTCCCCTCCTCCTCCGCCATCCACTATTCCCTCCTCTCCACTGTCGACCATGACTCCTCCAAGGTTAGATGACATCCCCCTCGACCCCACTTTCCCCTTCTGTTTTCATTTTTAATTTTTAATTTATGTAAAATCCACGTAAATAAAAAACTTAACTGAAATTCACGATTTTTTCCCCTATCTTTATGCATGTTTCTCACTTCGTGCAGATTTACGGGAAAGTGAAAACAGAATTTGTGGACGTACCATTCGCGAGCGAGCAAGAATAAGAACGTTATTGGATTTCTGAGTACTGGATTTAGGCAACTTGGTCCTGGTTTTTCCCCTCCCCTTCCTGGTTTATAAATAACTATGTAATTTGTCAGAGATTTTTTTTAAAACTTCAACAGTTGTTAAAGGTGTATGATGTTATGATGTTTTTGAGTTGTTAGGCATAGCAAGGATAAAAACTGATTTGGATATAATGTTCTGAGGTGTTTCCATTGAGAGGTTGTTTAAGATGGTATGATGCTATGTGGTAAGGTTGGTTCATGTACATGTTATATGGAGTAAACGATGATTGATTCATACATGCTTAGGGATGGTATATATGAATGTTTGAAGTAGGTGTTCTAATATGATTTGATATGCATGTATGTTGATATGAGGATAGATGACCTTATATAACAATTAGTGGGTGTTTGTGTGTTTAGTAAGATTGACCTTAGGATGTGGTATCATCAAATTAGAGTTGAGGATGAGGATATATACCAGACAGTTTTATGCTAGTTATCTAAGTGTGATTTTTGATTATATGAGGTGAATGTTCTAGGCCCTGTAATTTCTAGTGGAGATATAACGTAGATCTACCTAAGGTAGAAAAGTTGTGCTTAAGTGGGAGATACCAAAAGTCAATTAGTGAGGATAAGAGTTTTCTTATATTAGTTTATTATTATAGGAGAGTTATTGAGAAAATTTCTAGGATATCATTACCTTTGACTAGATTGACTAAGAAGATTGTTGTCTTTGTGTGGAATAGTGTGAGATAGTTTCCAAACTCTAAAGGAAAGATCGCATAGTGTTACTGGATTTTAGTAAGTCTTATGTGGTATATAGTGATGCTTCTAAGATGGGTTGGTTGGAGTATGGATGCAAGAAGGAAGGGTAGTAGCTTATGTGTCTAGGCAATTGAAAATTCATGAGAGAAATTACCTTACCATGACATTGAGTGAGCAGTTGTGATATTTACACTAAGATTTGGAGATACTACCTATATGATTATAAGCTTGAGGTATTTAGTGATCATTAGAGCCTTAAATATCTATTTGACCCGAGAGAGTTGAATATAAGACAAGAGAGATAGTTGGAATTTCTTAAGGACTAGGATTTTAATCTTAGTTGTTATCTGGGTAAAGTCAATGTAGTAGTCGATGCTTTGAGTAGGAAACATTTACATTCATCTTCACTTAAGATTTGAGAGATTGACCTTTTGGCTCGGTCTATGGATTTAAGTTTGAATTGTTAAGTTACTCTTAGTAGTGTGAAACTAAGTATGACTCGAGTAACGAATTGATGGTTGAAAGAAATTGGAGAAGCACATTTAGATGATTCATTTTGGTGGTAAAACATGAGGCTATAGGACAAGATAGTGGATGAGAGTTTGCCTTGGATGTAGGAGAGTGGTGAGATTTAGATACCGAGTATGAGTACCTAGTAAACCTATGCCTAGGTGTTTGATCTTTGGAGAGGGTCATAGAAGTAAAGCTAATATTGTGACAGATGCCTTGAGTATGATGATCATTCATCTATCGTTTTTGATGATGTATGTGTTGGATTTAATTGAGGAGGTTAAAAACATAAGCGTGATGTATAAGCTCACCCTTAAGAGCATTGGATTGGGTATGTCTTCTTTTCCCACCGTACAATTTTGTGAATGTTTTAGGTGAGGAAGATCCGGCTGCGAGTGGCATCTAGAATGCCAACAGTTAAATTAGGGGTATGCTCTAATATTGTTACATCAGGGCAGAGGACTTTTAAAATTTTTATATGGATTTGGAATTGTAAATATCATTTTGAAAACAATTTATAAACTCTTGTGTTTCATTTTCTAAATCTTTATTATTGTGGTTATTGAAGAACGATTTTTGAAGTTTCTCATGTGAACCCTTTTATCGAAATTGAAAGATTTATTTGTAAAATTTTTATTATTACAATATATGTGTTGGGGTAGTAAGGGTGTCACAATAATTATTAATTTCGGCGGAAAAAATAAACAGATTGACATCAACAATACCATTGCATAATCCAAACTATATTAAATTAAATAATTTCAGTCAAGTCACCGCTAATTAAATGACAAATTAGCATCAAATAAGCCCACATTAAAATATATTTTTTCAAAAATTACTGATCAATGCTAATTATAAATTTGGGCGGAAAAAAAAAACAAATTCACATCAGCAATACCATTGGATAGTGCAAACTAAATTTCGGCTTAGTCAAGATTAGATTTTCATTTGAACGAGGAAAAAAAATGTTAAGAGTAAGTTGCAGCATTCATATCGGCTAATATATATATATATATATATATATA